ATTGGTGTCCCTGACTGACCCTGAGCCTGAGTCAGATCCTTGTTCCTGATCCTTGTACCTGCTCCTGTACCCTGCTTCCTCCTCCCCTTGTCTCCCATCCCTGTTCTGACTTTGTCTTGCTCATGTGTGTTCCCTCCATTTTGTATATCATTAGGTAATTTGGGGGTTTTGCACTCTTTTGTCATGTTTATTTGTCACTTAGGCCCCTTTCACACGGGCGTTCTATATGTCCATTTTCCATCTGTCTGATATGGATGAAAAACAGACAACCATGTATTTCTATGGACTAGTGGCTATAAATGGATGATCATCTGTTTACATCTGTTAATGTCCACATCCGTTAACATCCGTTTTTTTTTATACAGAAGAAAACCCTATTTTTCTTCCATAAAAAAAAAATGGACCGGATGTAAACGGGTGAAAAAACGTCTGTAAATGGCTGAAAAAGGATGTAAATGGAAGAAAAATGGATGAAAAACTGATGTAAACGCATGTAAACTGATGAAAAACTGAAGTAAACTGATGAAAAATTTATATAAATTGCTCTCTTTTTTCTTGGAAAAAATGTGATTGAACTGATGAAAAAAACTGAATGCCCGTGTGAAAAGGGCCCTATACTTTACTGGTGTTGATGTTGGAAGTGTGTCCTTCATCCTATTAAACTTATTTTAACCTTATCCAGTTGGGGTCCTGATTCCTTAACCCCCCTGGCGGTATTCCCGAGTGTAACTCGGGGTAGACTTTCAGCACCAAAAGCGGTAACCCCCCTGAGCTACACTCGGGATTACCATGCGGCGTTGCTCAGGGATTCCCTGCAGCGCTTACCTTGTCCTTCACTCCCACGATGTGTCCCCTGCAGCGTCCCCGGCCATCTCCTCCGGCCGATGCCGGCATTCGGCTTCTGCGTTCCGGTCCCTGTGACGTCGGGACGTACGGGCGCAAATTTGAAATTTAAAAAAAATGTCATTTTTTAAAAAATGATTATTACATAGTAAAACATTCCTGTATCAAACCATTTCACATACATTTTGTCCCGAGTGCTTTGTCCGGCGCCCTGATTGCATTTTGACTGTTCTTTCTGCCTGGAAACTGAGAAACGTCCATGGCGTCCAAAAAGCGTCCCTTTAGGTCAGACGCGGTTTTTAGACCGGCTAGAGAACAGCGATAGTAAATCAGAACCACTTGCAGAATTGAGTGATAATGATTCGTGGGGGAAATTCCTCATCAGACACTGAAAAATATTCTGCGACTGAGCTCAGCGATGTGCGAACTTGGCGCTCTATTTCACATTTCAGTGTTTTTGGTTTGATTATATTATTGAATTAAATTTATTATTATTATATTATTATTTTTTATGATTATTTATTAAATTATAATTTATTATTTCGTGTTTCAAATTTTATCCTACCCGGGATGTTTACTGGACTCTTGTTCGGACAGATTTCAGTGAGTTATTCCTAAAAATTACAGACCTACAATAAAAAAAATACATGTTTCCATGCAAAAAAATGTATCGCTTTCAGCACCAAAAATCTGAAATAATCAGACCGCTAGGGAGGTTAAGGTGCAGCGCACTCATCTGATCATCCTTGTGGTATCCTTGACATGCACAATTGGTCCTATATGCACCTCTTCCCTTTATATGATGGCTGCAATACATCTACTTCCTCTCCTCCACTCCACAGGTGGGCACAGATATATTCTCCAGAGATCAAACAAAAACTAAGAGTGTTCTCCATTTAATATGTTTATTTAAGATGAAAATATACACTCACAATAAAAAGTGCGCAAGACCTGTGAACAAGAATAAAAAACTCATCCAGAGCCTGCCTCTGTCACCCTCCGTGTAGTCAGCATCTCTATCACATTTGCTGGTCGCAATGTGATAATGTTATTCAAGTTCCCTGAATATTTACAACTTTTTGTAACTTTAATTTTTATTGTTTCATCACAAATAGACACAATTTAAAATGTACAAATATTTACTATTGATGAACGCAATACAAAGTTTCAGTTTTTAAATTTAGTAGGAATTTGTCAAGTTTTACTGTGTCTGCTAATGACGATGTTGCTCTCTTTTGAACAAAAATGCTGTTTTCATAAACATTTGCACAACTATCATGACACTTGAAGATCAGTAGCGCCATCTGTTTATTCTCCAGGTTCTGTGCTTTCAGAAATGTGTGGTTTGAGGAGCTTTTAACAAGTCCTCCTGCACACGGGACGTTTTTACAGCGGCTGTTTTTGGCTTTTGACGTTTTTTTCTACAGCCAATAAACTCCCCAACATGTTATCCTATGTGAACAAAATAACATAAGGGTATGCGCTAAAATAAAAAATAAATAATAATAAAAAAAAAAAAATATATATATATATATATATATATACATACATATATCTATCACCATATATTAAGTGTCCAAATATATATATATATATATGGTGATATATATATATATATATATATATATATATATAATATATAATATATATATATATATTTATTTTTTTTTTTTTATTTTTTTTTTATTTTAGCGCATACCATTATGTTATTTTGTTCACTTTGCCAAATTAATTTTTGTATATATATATATTTTTTTGGTGGGTGTTGCTGCTGACAGTTTGTTATTTTCAGATAGTGTGGGCGCTTTTTCTATTTTATTTTTGTATGTTATCCTATGTGTCCATGCATACATGCAGAGATGTTTCTTGGCTGGAAACAAACTCAGGACAAGTAGGTTTTTTGGAGGAGTTTTTTTAGCTGTAAAAAGCTCTAACGCTGAAAAACACAGCAAAATGTGGTAAAATCCAGTGAAACGCCACAAACAGGCATTTTTATCTGTTTTTTTTTTTTACAAACAAAATGCTAAAAAACGCAAACACGGAAAAACTCGGGAAACCGCCGCTAATCGTGGCAAAATGCCGCTAAATGCTAATGCAAAAACACTAAAACAAAGCTGAAAAACTCAGGTTTTTAATGTGACTTTACACAGCTAATGTTACCAGCATTATCACAGCACCCCGTATCCATGAGGACTAAAACATTTGAAAGCTGTAATTAAAAAACGATAACCTCCAGATTTTTAGAGTAAGTTGCTTATTTATAGCTTTGTGTGCTTTCAATTTTCACATTTTTGTTTTTAAAAGACACAATTTACAATGTACAAATATTTGTTATTGTTATTGGGCAGCACAGTGGCTAAATGGTTAGCACTTCCACCTGGCAGTACTCGGGTCGTTGGTTCAAATCCCAACCACGGCACCACCTGCCTGGAGTTTGCATGTTTTCCCTTTGCCTGCGTGGGTTTCCTCCAGGTGCTCTCGGTTTCCTCCTACTCTCCAAAGACATGCTGGTAGGTGAATTGGCTCCTGTCTAAATTGGCCCTAGTATGTCTATGTATGAATGTGAGTTAGGGACCTTAGATTGTACACCCCTTGAGGGTTAGGGACCTTAGATGTACACCCCTTGAGGGTAGGGACTGATGTGAATGTACACTATATATGTAAAGAGCTGTGTAAATTGACGGCGCTATATAAGCACCTGAAATAAATAAAATACATTTATTAACTCAATGTAGTATTATTTTTTATACTTAGTAGGCTTTTAGGAGGAAACAAGGGTAAAATTGCAAAAACGGTCTGACCACCTGAATTTTAAATAAAGAACATGGCCTGAGAGTGAAAGGGTTAATCGTTGAGTTGCTGAATTGCAGAATCCACACCTCGGCATACGAGAATGTTATTACAATAGAATGAAACTAAAAGAATCATTTTCGCTGAGCAGAAAGCACGGAGTAAGATTCAGGAAGGAAGTCAGCACTCGGGCAAAAAAACGGTGTAAATTGTGCATAATACCAGCATTTACTAAATAATAATAATAGTAAGATGTGGAATCCAAGGACCAAATACATGAGAGTCTGGGATAAAGCAGAGAGTTGTCTATTCTGATTTGTTTATCGTGAAAAGAAGAAAGGTAAGGGATTTCAAGTGACTATTTACATAGATACTTACGTGGATATGTATGTGCTTGTAAACAGTGTGTGTGGGTATACATTTATAATTGTGCATACATGATTAATATACATATATATGTTTCTATCTGATTTTTGAACTTGTGAGTACTAGAAACTGTATAATGGAGACTGGATACAATAAACTGGCTGAAAATAAGAAAGTGAAAAGTGTGTGAAGTGTATTGTGTAGAATACGGCTGTCAAGGTTTCTATTTCATATACAAAAGTATTTTAAACCTAAAACTACATATAAAGATTTCTCTTGTAGAAGAAAACTGTTGCCAACTCTTTATTCCAGCTATTTCTACACAAAAACTATTTATCATAGCACTACTCCGGCACCACAAAATATCACCCAGGGACTGCACAGACCTCCACATTGTGTCCCTGTCTTTATTAAATACCCCCTATGTATAGATATTTAAAAGAATAATAATACGGTTGTGTGGAAATAGCTGTGATTAGAAAAAAAAAAATTCTATACACTTGTTAGAGTAGATGTATGGAAATTGCCATTGCTGAATTGTTTTTAACCATTTCCATACCGGGCAATTGTACACCTTCCTGCCCAGGCCAGTTTTCAGGTTTCAGCGCTCTCACACTTTGAATGACAATTGCGCGGTCATACAACATTGTACCCAAACTAAAATTGTATCATTTTCTTCACACAACTAGAGCTTTCTTTTGGTGGTATTTAATCACCGCTGGGGTTTTTATTTTTTGCTAAATTAACAAAAAAAGACCAAACATTTTGAAAAAAAAAAAATTTTTCTTCGTTTCTGTTATAAAAGTTTACAAATAAATAATTGTTCTTCATAAATTTAGGCCGAGATGTATTCTGCTACATGTCTTTGGTGAAAATAACCCAAATTAGGATGTATTATTTAGTTTGTAGGAAAGTTATAGAGTTCACAAACTATGGTATAGATCTGAATATTGATCAATCCTGAAGTACTGACGGCCAATCTAATTTCTTGAGGTCCAAGAATGTCAGAACAGTACAGATATCCCCAAATGTCAGAACGTACAGATACCCCCCAAATGTCAGGACAGTACAGATATCCCCCAAATGTCAGAACAGTACAGATATCCCCCAAATGTCAGGACAGTACAGATATCCCCCAAATGTCAGGACAGTACAGATATCCCCCAAATGTCAGAACAGTATATCCCCCAAATGTCAGAACAGTACAGGTATCCCCCAAATGTCAGAACAGTACCCCCCCCAAATGTCAGGACAGTACAGATATCCCCCAAATGTCAGAACAGTACAAGATATCCCCCCAAATGTCAGGACAGTACAGATATCCCCCCCAAATGTCAGAACAGTACAGATATCCCCCCCAAATGTCAGGACAGTACAGATATCCCCCAAATGTCAGGACAGTACAGATATCCCCAAATGTCAGAACAGTACAGATATCCCCCAAATGTCAGAACAGTACAGCTATCCCCCAAATGTCAGAACAGTACAGATATCCCCCAAATGTCAGGACAGTACAGATATCCCCCAAATGTCAGGACGGTACAGATATCCCCCAAATGTCAGGACGGTACAGATATCCCCCAAATGTCAGGACAGTACAGATATCCCCCAAATGTCAGGACGGTACAGATATCCCCCAAATGTCAGGACAGTACAGATATCCCCCAAATGTCAGAACAGTACAGATATCCCCCAAATGTCAGGACAGTACAGATATCCCCCAAATGTCAGGACAGTACAGATATCCCCCAAATGTCAGAACAGCAGATATCAGTCACAGATATCCCCCCAAATGTCAGGACAGTACAGATATCCCCCCAAATGTCAGAACAGTACAGATATCCCCCCAAATGTCAGGACAGTACCCCCCAAATGTCAGGACAGTACAGAACATCCCCCAAATGTCAGGACAGTACAGATATCCCCCAAATGTCAGGACAGTACAGATATCCCCAAATGACCCCTTTTTGCAGAGTAGACAGTCCGACGTACTTCATAAGAGGCATGATGAGTTTTTTGAAGTTGTATATTTTTTGTCATAATTTTTTGGAAAATGAAAAAATTAAAAAAAAATTTTCACAATATTTTTTTTTACATACTGTCACCAGTGCAGTACAGCGTCATCATATAACTGGCATGGCGGTGAACAGGGACACTGACTGGTGACAGTATGAAAAAAAAAATATATATATATTTATTTTTTTTTTTTATTATTTTTAATTTTTTATTACATTTTTTTTTATTTTTGTTAAGATTTTTTTTATTTTACTATGACCAAAGTAGTACTATAGTACCATAAACATTGTACTACTTTGGGGAAGTGATCAGTATTTTTTTTTTTTTTTTACACAATTTGCTTATAGCAAAGAATTACTTTGTATAAGCAAGCATTTACCTGAATGAAATCGATTCATTCAGAGGTTTTTTTTTTTTTTTTTTTTGTGCTTAGCTGTGATTTGGCCACAGCTAATCACATGGCATGTGCATGTGACCTGCTGTGACCATTCACAGCTAGGCACTACAATGGATAAATTGGAATGAAAGCCATCCATTGTATACAACTGTCATGTGACCTGCTGTGATTGGTCACAGCAGGTCACATGGTACCGGCAACGGGGGCCGATACTCAGATCTGTCATTGGCCGTGTCCGAAGGTGCACGGCCGGTGACAAAATCACGCCGCTGCGCGGCTCTGCAAGCGCGAAAACTCTGCATGTGCGGAAACATGCAAATGGTGTCCACCCGGAAATCCGAAGCATTTTTGCGGCCACCAAACGGCTATAGGCCAGGGCGGCTAATGGTTAAACAGAAACTGTAAAGGTCTACTCACATCTAACCTGCATCAGGCCATGCATTAACTAGCTTTGCATACAGGCTGCCTACTCATTTGTATGGGCTGCCAACACGCTACAGCAAAATGAAAATTGGATATGCATCATTTTTGTAACACAACACATTGCCACACACAATAGTGCATTTATGTTATGCAGTGTATCACAATTCACAGTGCGGCATTACCATGCACTGCAATAGACAAAAACACAGATGCATTTTCTCAGTGCTTTGCGGTGTCATTACAAGTGGTGTGTGGTACATTGCCATGCAATATTGTGTATTTGTTTTTTTACATTTTTATGTTTGTAAACTGTTTTACAGTGGCTATAAAAAATCTACACACCCTGTCAAAATGTCAGGTTTCTGGGATGTAAAAAAAATGAGACAAAGATAAATCATTTCAGAACTTTCTACACCTTTAATGTGACCTATAAACTGTACAACTCAGTTGAACAACAAACTGAAATCTTCTAGGTGGAGGGAAGTAAAAATAAAAAACTAACGGTTGCATAAGTGTGCACACCTTTACACTAATCCTTTGTTGAATCCCCTTTTGATGTGATTCCAGCACTCAGTCTTTTTGGGGAGGAGTCTATCAGCACGGCACATCTTGACTTGATAAATAAGTAAATATAATGGCGCCTATGGAAAAAATGTGGGTCACAAACTGATATACCAGCTGCAAAATCCACCATAAAATAAATACAGTGTAAAAAACAACACAAAAAATAATTTGCGCTAGTAAATAGATATTACAATTATACCTGTGAGCAGAAAAATATAAATACTATCAAAGTGAGTAATAAAAATAAAAGTGCCCAAAAAAACAGTCCAAATTGAGATGTGTGATACAAATCCGAATAAAAAGTGCACCAAAGGAATATAAGAAGAAATATAAAAAAAAGGATTTGATAAACACATTGGGGTTTATTTACTAAAGCTGGAGAGTCCAAAATCAGACTCCCTTCTGCATAGAAACCAATCAGCTTCTAACCTCAGCTTGTTCAATGAAGCTTTGGCAATGAAACCTGGAAGCTGATTGGTTTCTATGCAGAAGGGAGTCTGATTTTGGACTCTCCAGCTTTAGTAAATAAACCCCAGTGTGTCAAAAACACTTTAAATTAGTACATAATTGTGATCCAAGTCTACTTACCTTTTATGGAATTGAGATGGTGAAACCCCATTGGAGGGGCTCTGATTTAGTTAATGAAATATCCAAAAAAGAAACGTATTGGATTTATGAGTTAAATTCTTTACAACCTTATGGGTTGAATATTGATATTGATTTGAATTGTTTTCTCACAAACTTTTGAGTTTACTTTTATATTTATTGTAATTTTGGACATCAATTGGCTATGTGATTTATTCTAATTTTAATTTTATTTATAATAAAGAATTTATTTTATATATAATTTTTGTAAGGTAGAGTTCCCCTTTTTTATATATTTATTTTTTTTTTTTATATTTGTACTGGCCCTTTAAATCACTGCGGAGAGATTTTTAGATATGTTTTTGATAGTGCAGTTTTTTCTCATTTGGACTGGCCCTTTATTTATAATTATTTGGTTATATATATTTTTTTTTTTTTATATAATTTGATTATATTTCCTTTTTCCTCTTTTTTGCCCTTTGATGTTCAAAAGATCGTATGTGTTATGCGGTTTTGTTATTGCGGACATCTGTCATCATTGAGGCTGTTCGTTTCTTGATCCTCTATTGATTACAGCTGATCGTTCCCAGTACAGTGCATATTTAATGAGGTTGCGACGTCTCACATCCATCCGCTCCGTGAGGACGTCGATGACGAAACGCGTAGGGCGGGGCTTGATTGATGTGATGTCATTACACTTCCCAGCGATCTACTGTGAATCTGCCGAGTGGCTGGGTTCCTTGTCTTGTGATTCCTATATGCTGTTAATGCTGGTGTCAGCTGGGACACCTCTTTGAGTAAGTGCAATGAGTGCATAATAAATGAAGCTGGTTTTTAAATACTGCACCATGAAATTCTTGTCATTTCTTCCGAGTGTCTGGTATTACCCTTTTGGATACGATTAAAGTGATCCCTTGGAGAAGTGGATTTCCTCAGTGGTATTTAATTACAAAGCATTGCATCATTGAAATTGGTCAGCTGGGTTCTGCAGAATATTACTCCGTGAAGATACATCCATGAATGGTTCATTACTCCGATTATACCATCACCCCCAGAGCAACATATGCTTCTGTTTGTTATAGCTCTGGTGAGTTTATTTAGTGCTTGTGGTGGTGGACTGTCACAATTTGGTGCACATCTTGACTCGGCAATATTTGCCCGCTCTTCCTTGCAAAAACACTCCAAATCTGTCAGATTTCTGTCAAATCTGTCAGAATCTGTCACCCCCCACAGATTTTCCATCGGATTCAGGTCTGGGCTCTGGATGGGCCATTCCAAAACTTTCATCTTCTTCTGGTGAAGCCATTCCTTTGTTGATTTGGATGCATATTTTGGGTCATTGTCATGCTGAAAGATGAAGTTCCTCTTCATGTTGAGCTTTCTAGCAGAAGCGTGAAGGTTTTGTGCCGATATTGACTGGTAACATATCTTTTGGAATTATGGCCAAAAAGTTCAGCCTTGGTGTCATCAGACCACATGCTTTTGGGAAACTTCAGATGTGTTTTTGCAAAATGTAGCCGGGCTTGGATGTTTTTCTTTGTAAAAAAAATCTTCCGTCTTCCACTCTACACCATTGCCCAGACATATGACGGACACGGGAGATTGTTGTCACATGGACCACACAGCCAGGACTTGCCAGATATTCCTGCAGCTCCTTTATTGTTGTTGTAGGCCTCTTGGCAGGCTCCCAGACCAGTTTTCTTCTCGTCTTTTCATCCATTTTGGAGAGACATCCAGTTCTTGGTCATGTCACTGTAATGGAACATATTTTCTACACTTGATGATGACTGTCTTTACTCTTCCATGATATATCTAATGCCTTGGAAATTCCCTAATTATCCTTTTTCTGACTTATACCTTTTAACAATGAGATTCCTCTGATGCTTTGGAAGCTCTCTGCGGACCATGTCTTTTGCTGTAGGATGTGAGTAAGAAAATGTCAGGAAAGACCTAATAGAACAGCTGAACTTCATTTGGGGTTAATCAGAGTCACTTTAAATGATGGTGGGTGTGTACTGACTCCTATTTAACATGATTTTGAATGTGATTGCTTCATTCTGAACACAGCTACATCCCCAGTTATAAGAGAGGTGTGCACACTTATGCAGCCATATTATTTTAGTTTACATCCCCCCCTACAAGATTTCAGTTTGTTTTTCAATTGAGTTGTAGAGTTTTTAGGTCACATTAAAAAGTGGAAAAAGTTCTGAAATGATTTATTTTTGTCTCATTTTTTTACATCACAGAAACCTGACATTTTAACAGGGGGGGTGTAGACTTTTTATATCTTCTGTATATCTCTTTTTGGTTATACTTCCTGTTTGGAGACTCAGATGTCTGGCTAACACTGCAAACCCAGTTTCGAGCTTGTGAGTAGGGCACCCCCTCACTCGTGCACATGAAGGCCTCTACTCTCTTCTCTGGTGTACACGCTCACTAATGCCTGGGACAAGGCAGGACCG